GATCAGTAATGTAAGATTTAACCATGATGATGTTTTAGGAAAGGTCTGATCAGGTCAAGCTAATTGGGAGAAACATAATGATGGGAACTCAACATAGGCTGCTTCAGATCAGTATTACCTTTAAACACCTTTCCGTACGTAGACATTGTCATCATTTAACAAATTCCTCAGTTGCTAGCTAAATATCTTAATAAAAAGTACTAATTCAATTTGTTTGTCTGAGCTTCTATGCAATTAACAAAAGTTTAAAATATATATATATATAAATGTCTGTAATAAAATATGGTTTGGTACTCCTTTTCCTTAATAAAACTATTTTGCGCTTGCTTCTCAGTTCTCACACTACACAGCTTTACAGATTATGTCAACATTTCTGAACCAGCCTCCGAACCCTTTTCTTATACTCCTTTTTAGAAAACGTTAAAATATTTTTATTTCCTCTTCATTTACTTTACCATTTAATTTCTATACTCACCTTTTTTATTTTTTTAATTTAAAATAAGTATTTTTAAATTTTTATACTTACAGTTCTTTAGCTTTTTATCTTTAATTACTTTTATGACATTATCTATTTTATAATAATGGATAGAGATCTTTGATTTTATAATTTCATAATAAATGTTATAAATGAGGATATAAAAAAAGACACGAAATATTAAATTTAGAGTAATTTCATTAAGCACACAAAATTAAATTAATACTTATATCACATCAACACAAAAGAAATAACAGTATAAAAAATTAACAATAAAAATTAAAAAGATTAAAAATTACAAGTATAGAAATTTTAAAAAAATTATCCTAAACTATAGTGAATGAAAATAAATTTTAAAAAATAAGTATAAAAATTTAAAAGATTTATTTTAAACTATAAAGATTAAAAAATAAACTAAGTAAAATTACATGAATTAAAAAAAGTATTTTAACCTTCAAAAATGATTTTACATATTTCTTTATATATAGTTAAAAAATAATTTTAAGTGTGTATATATGGATAATTTTATTCTTTATATACAGTAGCGGACCTTCTGTGACAGGGGGACCCACGACTTCCTCAAACTTTTCCAAATTTATATATATATATATATATATATATATATATGAATTTCCTAAAAATTATTATCTTGTTAATTTATCAAAATTACTAGTTTTTGTAAATTGGTCCAACTGAATCAGAACTTTTTAGAAATTATTAATTTATCCAGTATAAATGTTTAAAGTTTAATTATATGATGTTTAACTAGGAACCATTTATTACATTTTTTATTTTGCGAGACAAAAGTCTCATTATTAAGAGTATAGCAGGTACATCAAGTCCCACATTGTATGCTCAAAGTTTAGTCTTCATTTTGTTTTTTAACTCAAGTTATGTCAATTAAAAATTAATTTTTTTTTATAGTGAAATCCATTTAAAATTTGATAATTTGATACCTCTCTCGATATATATTTTTCAAAATTTTAGGAAAAAAAAAACACTCATTTATTTTGATTTGGTTAATTTGTATAAATGATATTATAGTAATTTAATTTAACGTTAAATGAAAATAAAATATTTTTCTCTCTCTTATTAACTTTATTCTCTAAGTCGTTTATATATTTTTTTTGTTCAGAGAGGGGAGACATCATGAGAGATGAAAGAGAAATGAGTTAAGGAAGGAATTTAATAGGAGAAAAATAAATAAGTTAGAGAAAAAAATTAATAAAAAAGAACGAAAGAATTTAATAGGAAAGAGATAAATAAGTTAGAGAAAAAATTTAATAAGAAAGAGAAGTGGGTTGGAGAAAGAATTTAATAAAAAATAGAAACAACTAATAAAGAAAAAATATTTTATTTTTATTTAAAATTAAATTAAATTACTATAATATCTTTTATATAAATTAATCAAATCAAAATAAATGAGTGATTTTTTGTCCTAAAATTTTAATATAGGTTGCTAACATACTCCAACTAAAAAATAAGTGAGAGTATATTAGCATTCCTCAAATATATATATATATATATATATATATAAAGGAAGG